AGACTTCAGCAGGCAGGGAGAGGGCGGGGGCCTGCAAGGTACCGGCGCGCTCTGGTTGGACGCGGCGCTGTCGGGCGCACAACACCATGGCCCGGCTGCGACTGTTGCGGTTGCTGCTGCTCGCTGCTGTCGCTCTAGCGGAGGCGGGCCCTCGTCTTCCGACAGCCAAAGTCACGAGACGACTCGTGGGTGCGCCGGCGCCTCCCCTGCTGCCAGCCGCCACCACTACCATCATCACCACCACCACGTCGGCCATACAGCACTGGGCCGCCTTCACCACATACGAGCCACTCGGCCTCGTGGAGCCACGCCCGGCCCCAGCGCCCCGCTGCTCCCTGCGCACAAACCCTGCTCCCTCTGCTGCCACCTGCTGCTGCTCCCACTGTCCTGTTGCTCCAGCTTTCCCTGCCACCGCCTGGCCTCAAGCGCCCATGCACGGCACGGAAATGAGCCTAGTCAAAATCAATCCTGGTGCTCGCTCGACGCGCCCATCACTCCCCCAGAGCAAAAACTGTCCAATGCCCACGCCGACCCGCTTGTCGTGCCATCTTTTCGGTCGGGAGATCTGCTTTCTGCATTCCTTTCCCTCCACCACGCCGCACTTCGCTGCGCGCCTGTGCATCCGCTCCTTTGCCCTCGTCTGCTTCTCAGCCTCACACGCTCCTTAACCCGTTTCTTAATCTATTGTTTATACACTTGCCCTCCCGAGACTCGCACGCCCGCCCGCCGCCCGCTGCCCGTCCTCCTATTCTCCACACACACACACCCACAAACACGCCCACAGACACTCTCACACGCACTACGATCCCGCACCCAGCACCCAATTCGCCCCCCTTGGCCACTTCCCACACTACATGCTGCCACCTGCTGCCTTCACCCTCACTTCCTCGCGCCTCGCTCCTGCCGCCAAGCCGCAATTGGTCAGCCTGCACAACATCGCCTACACCCTAGTGTAGTCACTGTCAGCAGTAAGACATCACTCCTCGTCTCTCCCCACCCCTCTCCCCACCTCGCTAATCCTGGCCAGGACACCATGAACCGCTGGCTCAACAGGAAGAAGGATGGCGTCGAAGACGCGCCTGCAGGCAAAAAGGTCAAAAAGGGCAAAAAGGGTCAAGAAGAAGACGTCAAGCCAGAGTTCGATCTCAACGCCGTCCTCCCAAAAGCAGACGACTTCCGCACCAGTCTGATCCTGCCCGGTCTGTCCACTCGCTTCAGCATGCTGAGAGAGCAGGATGACCCTTCATCCCTCATCGGCAAAGCAAGCGACGACAGTGTCCTCCAACCCAAGCGTCAGTCCCGCCTCCACGAGTTTGGTTTTGTTCCTGGTGGCCTCTCCGACATTGCTGAAGTATCCTCGCTCAAAGGTTCTCTCCATCGACCGGCTGCTGCTGAACGCACCGACTCTTTTGATGGCCCCAAAGAAGACGATGGCTCCGGCAGTGTCATGAGCCGAGCGAGGCCTGGCGAGGGCAACATCCTCTTTGGTGGACGACAGAAAATCTACGTCATTTCAAACACAAACTCAAAGGGCACCGGACGCGCTCTGTACGACGACGATGTCAACCTATCGGCATACCAACGCCTACGACAAGAAGAAAAGGAGCGCATACGGCAGCAGGCAGAAGACGAGGAAGAGAGTCAGCACTCGGAACCCTCCAGCCCCACAGAGCTCAGCCGGAAGAGGGAGACTACATCCTCGACAAACTCTGGCCCGTCCAATACCCGCATCTCTACCGCTGCGACTTCAATAGCTTCCCAAGGCGCCAACTCAGTTTCCGCCTCCTCTCCTTCCTTGCCCCCTTCCTCGGCTCCTGTGAGCCCCCCAGATCTGAGCCGGTCAACTACCAAGCGGCGACTTTATGACCAAGGCTTGGACCAGCAAATCCAAGACCAGCAATCCTCAGCCATGAACCGTCTCAATTCGATACAGCGAGCGCGCGCCCCCACACTGCGATCAAACCAACCTCTGCCCATAAGCCAAGCACGTTCTGCAACAAATCTCCACGACCGCTTTGCCAGGGGTCCTGGATTCCGCTCCGAAAGCCCCGGTGCCACTGGCCACCCGGCCATGGTCCGAACAAACTCGTCTGGCACATCAAGCCCTGTGCTTTCGCGGCCACAATCGCCGCCACTGGTAAGCCCAGTGACCAGCGATTGCAGCGAGGCTCACTCACTCAATGCCGCGCTTCAACCAAATGATCGAGGCAAGGCCACTGCCCTGGGTGCCTTCAACAAGCCAAAGGAGGCTTTTAGCGAAGAGCAGTATGCCGAGCGTTTGCGACAGATGAACCAAGACAGACAAGCACGCGAGTCACCAGCGTCAGGACCTGCAAAGTCGATGCCTCGCAAACCCTCGTTGCGAGAGCGAGCTGAGCAGGAACGAAGGAAGAGAGCGGAAAGTGATGCAAGAGAGAAGCCCAGACCTCAATCACCTGCAGAGCAAAGCCCAGCTACAAATGCTTTTTCCAGGTTTCAGGCTGCTGCCAGCCAGATGAGGGTCGCAGGTCAACCAGCTGCAAATGTACAGGCAAGCCAGAAGAAGCCCCCACAGAATCCCAAGGACGAATGTGCGAAAGCTACCTTCTTTACCTCGCCCGACTCGAGTGATGACGAGCAAGGACAACAGCAGCAATCACAACAACAAGAAGAGCCAATTTCTAAGCCAGCGACAACTCGTCCTGCGGGATCCGCCCGTCGGTTTGAAAACCTCCCAGTCGCAACTGGTCCTGCGCCGCCCATGTTTGAGCACCCTGCACTCCGCTCACGTGCCCCATCAGACGAGGATGCTCAACAATCAAACCCCATCTCTCGTTCTCCCTATCAAGCCACCGAGCCTCCCGCACTAAACGTCGCAGATAATGACTCTCCCACCCTCGGCCCCCAAAACGGCGGACTTAGTGGTCTGATTCGCCAGCACCTGCGCAGCAACAGCAATGTCTCTTCCACCTACGGCGAACCAGGTCCGCCTGTCATGAGCCCACCCATGGATTCAGCCTTCCAGAAGAATGAGTTTGGACTGCAACGCAGACAGCCCGAGTCCGAGTCCGAGTCTGCCACGCCTGCGCCATCAACGTACAGCCATTCTAACCCATGGGATCTTGATGACATTGACGGTCCTTATCGTGAAGACCGTGGGGCTACCAAACCATCGAGTCCTATTGAGGGATCAACCAGGATCAGGCCTCTTATTATGAGCACCTCTGAACACCACACTGGTTCATCCACGTGGGATCTCACTCCTCGAAGGAACCACGAAAGGATTGCTAGCAACGAGACAGAAGCTGAGCACGAGGCATTCCAACGAGATCTTGCCCAGAGACAACGTCTGATTCAAGAAAGTCTTCGTGCAAAGGCCGAGGGCCGGTCACTGAGCCCTGGGCCTGGTGCTGGACCATCAGGGGGATTGAAGAATGCTCTGAGCATGCTTCGCGCAAAGTCGAACGGTGAAGCTTTTGCCACAGTCGATGCTTCCAACAAGTCGGTGAGGAAGCTTGCACTTGGTTCCTCTGCGGTCAATCTCAGCAGCACTTCGCTTGCGAGCATGCAAAGTTCGGACATACCGCCACTGCGAACCAAGCCTTCCCGCGTACTGCAACAGAGCGAGCAGGATGCTCAGCGTGAGCTCGAGCACAGGCAACGCTCAGCAACTGACAGCAGCCGGACAGGTCGTCCTGTAGGTAGAACACAGCCCGTTTCAACCAGGAGCTCGACGAGAGAACGCTCCAGCTCTGGCACGTCATCAGGACGCTCCCGGAGCCGTGGAGGTCATTACCGTGATGATTTGGACCAGGCCATGACCGAAGGGTCCCGAGCTGCCTACCCCCCAAACACGATTCCTTCGCTACCTGGATATGTAGCACACCCTACGCCTCCTCTGCCTGCACCAAAGACGTCAATGGATTCCGAAGGCCGCTCACGTTCAAGGAGCAACAGCAAAGTTTCTGCCTCTAATTACTTTGAGTCGAAGCACCTTAACCCCATCCAGACCAATCTGACGCCGGGTCAGAATGCACGATTTCCCCCTCCGCACGGCAAATTGTCGCCTGGACTACCGGTTTCACCTCGACCTTCACCTGGCGCTTACAGCAACCACAGTGGTCAGGGTTACTCGCACCCTAACTCTCCAATGCCTCCGTTTTCCAACAGCCACACGCCTCCTGTGTCTAACCCAACGACGCCTAACCCGGCCACGCCTAGTGCTCCCGCCTTCAACCCAAGCACCGTGCAACCTGTAAACAGACAAGGAATGTTGCGAAAGAAGTCGGTTGCCAAGTCAGACATCTCGGACCCCGTCTTCATTTCGACAACGTCGGTGATTGACACAATTGATCTCCCTCCTGGTGCATCCCTCAAGAATGGCAGCGAATATGATGCCCCGCCTGTTCCACCCATCAACCCCATGAGGCGACGATTTGGATTTGGTCGTGGTGAGGGTCAGGGCTCAGCAGATGCTGACCCTGCTGTTCAGCCAGGCATCGAGGTCCCACGAGCGCCTTTTGCGGAGCCGCTTCGTACTGGTTCGGCTGACGGTCTGTACGAGCAGGCGCACCCACCGCCTAGAAATATGCTGAGGAAAGCGACAAGCGAAGGCCGAAGTCTGCGTGGCGTAGCACAGGGCCAAATGGGACCGTCTCCTCCCGTGCCATCGAGTGGTTTCCAAGGACGGAACAAGTCACCCCCGCGTGCCATGAACGCACAGGCCCGAGGTCAAGGTTCCGTTGAGGGTGCTATGTTCTAAACTGCGAGAGGCCAGCAATTGCATGGTCGATTCGACTTTTTCTCTTCTCCCCCTTCTTTTCTTTCATCTTATTACGACTGCGATTTGTCTGCAGCGATTTTACATTTGCCCCGTGTATAAGCTTAAATTTTGTTCCCTCTTGTGTCTGTTATGTTTTTTCAAGTTGGCACGTCTGTGACAAGGGCCCTGGGTTTGGGGGAGTTTTTTTTCTTCTTCTTTAATTTCCGAATCTCCCTTTTTTTTCCTTTTGCCCTTTTCTTTTCTTGTTTTTTTTTTCATTGCCCACTGTCTCAGCGATATACCTCTCGATTCTTCAAGTTTTTCGTTTGAAAGATCCATTTCATGATGAACGATAGGGTTCGGGCTAGAGTACGACCCGGCACCGGGCTGGACACGGTGCAAAGTAGAGGTTCGCAATCGCATCACGCAAGTGTCGAGCACGCCTGGTCTGAGTTAGACGGGAAGGCTGCTCGGATGGTTATTTTGAGTCGAAAGGTATTGCCAGCCGCCAAGAAGGTCGTCATGTCATGTAGGCTTGGTGGGGATTCGGTTTAGCGTGTGCGGGCCGGGTTGCATGTGCCGGTGCTGCGACGGCTATAGCGGTCAATACAAAAGAAGCGCTATTCATTATGTTTGACGAGACGTTTGTATTGCTTGGGCCATGTGAAGATTATGATTGTCGCACTGTCAACCCACCTGTTCATGGTGCTTCTCCACATTGTGGGGCTCATTGTAACGCTGACTGTGAGTTTGAAATGCAAACGGCCAAAGGGAGGCCTGTTTGTTTGTTTTGTCGTCATGCTTGCAGCAGTGCAGTTGTGCTTTTGTCGAAGGCGGATGGGCAGAGAAAGAAGCCGACTGCGGTAGCGGCATGGGCGCACACACACACACACACACACACACACACAGTGTGGATGGTGTCCAAGTGCATTGCCCGACATGGTCATGCACTCATCGACGACTGCCATCACACCGCTCGACGGCAACAAAAGCAAAAACCCGAAGATAATCTACCGAGATGAGATGATGTGAGACGAGTGACAGGCTGTGCGCCATGGTCTCAACGCCCCATCTACCCGCAACGGCCGAGTCATGGGCCCTTGTTTCAGCTGCCGTTGCTTGGCTACTTGCATCTGACCCGGCCCGTGCCAAGCACTCGCCAGCGCGCCATCATTACCGAGACGAAGGCCAGCAATGTGCACGACGAAGCTTCTGGATGCCGCCCCCCCAGACGGCTGGACGGAATTGGTTACGCGGCATTGCGACGAGGGATGGGCAAGTGCACGCGTACTTAGATGCACACCCATCTGCACCCGTTGGAGCTAGGGAAAAACTGGCAAAAGCAATCCAGAGGAACACAATGGGATGAGGGGGCCATCGAAATGTGGGGTTAGTCGTGGACGCCAGTCGCGCCTGCATGCGCCCATCGCGTACCTGCATCCTACGTACATACTTACCGTACACCTACTACCAGTGCCACTCTTCATTCCACGACACACTCGACACCACGCATTGCTTGTGTACGGCACTCTGCAGCTCCCACTGCTCGACGGACGACTGAATCGCTGCAACAGTAAGCTTCTGCTGTAAGCCTTGGCCGAGCGGCCAATTTTTCGAGAAACACGGCCGTATGTCCTGCGCCACATCAGCCGCAGTGATTGGCCATGCAGCATGGTCTCTGCATGCCACCACCACCACTGCCGTTGGGCCATATGTGCGTCTTCCCAAAGTGCCTGAAACCCTCTCCAGCACACCTACGTCAGCAATCCAATGTCGCATAAACGCGCATCCACCCACGGCAGATTTGTCTGCTGTGCCCAACTATCGGTGGTAGGATGAGGCGAAAAACAAATCAATTTTGGAAAAAGCAACCAGCGAGGGGTCTTCCTGCACCCGTCCTCCCAACGGTCCTGACTTGCTTTTTGTTCAACCACTCTGGGCCAAGTAACAACAGCAGGCTTCCGAAGCACGGCTGATACACTTGCGCTCCACTCATGCACCAAGTATTGCTCCTGCTACTGCAAACTGACATTGTCCATAAGCTGGGGCAAACAAAAAACGATCAACACCAAGTAACCGCAACATCGTCAGCGGAGAAGCTAGCTCCACCCAAAGACGCCGCTAACCACTTGTGCCCGCCGAGCCAAACCTTGATCGTGCCCTGATCCTTTTGCCCCTCAAGGTCCACCCAGGCAAGTGCTTATGCTCTCTGGGTCTGCAACAAGTAATTCGGTCTAATTCAAGAACCCTTTTTTCCTCCTCGGCGAGGCTTCCACCTACAGCTCGTCCAGGTCGTCATGAATCCAATGTCTCTGCAAACTGTGGTGGTGGGCAAGTCGCGTCTCCTATGTAAACTCGAGGCATGAACCATGGAGCGAATCTAGGCGCGTCCCCGAAAAAAAGTCAGCTGTCCCTCAAATTCAAACAGCTATTGCCCCTGGTGCCGATCACCTGCGGATTAACTAGCATTGGATCCCACTGAGTCACTATTGCTGTGGATACGACTTGCTTGGTCGAATGCGATCGTGGAGGTGCCGGCCCTTTACCCAAACCTTACCTGCCACCCCCCCCCCCCCTTCTATTCCCCGTCTTAGCCTAGCCTACCGCCCACTATTTATCTTGATAAAGAACCCTCTCCTCCCTTCCTTAATTCCTTCAGTGGTTTTCGATTCCATCCTACGTTTTGCGCAAAATACCCATATCCTACGTTCCAGTCAATCTTTAATAACACCACCACCACACCATTACTACTATATCAACAACAACCAAACACCACAGCAAACATGCGTTTCCAAGCTACCGTTCTCGCCGTTGCGGCCACCTTCGCTTTCGCCAGCGCCCAGGATCTCTCTCAGGTTCCTCAATGCGCTGTATGTGCACCTCTACCTTGTCGTCCTTATCTTGTTCAGCTCCACCTCTCGCGGCACCATTGGCATCGCGTCGAGCTAGTGGACGCTATAATCCTACCATGACACATGTCACTGACCATTCATCCCTTAGATTCCTTGCTTCGTCTCTGCTCTCCCCGCCTCCAAGTGTGGTACCACCGACATTAAGTGCCAGTGCACCACCGGCCGTGAGCCCCTGCAGGAGGCCCTCATGGCTTGCGTTCCCACCAAGTGCAGTCAAGAGGATGCTCTTAGTAAGTGGTTTCCCCCACCACCTTACCTTAGCACATTATTCTTTCAACAAAGTCAAGCCATAGACTAACAATACGCCACAGAGATCATCCCTGCCGTCTCTGGCCTCTGCGCCTCCGCTGGTATCACTCTCTCTGACATCCCCACTGCTGCCCCTGCCGCCACCGGCACTCCTGCTGCCTCTCCTTCTGGCAACCAGCAGTCTGGCGTTCCTGCCTCCGCTACTCCCTCTGGCTCCAAGCCCACTGTCTCTAGCACCTCCTCGGGCTCCCCTGCCCAGTCTACCGGCGCTGCTTCGGGCAACTCGGCTGCCGTCGGTGCCATTGCCCTCGGTCTCGCCGCTGCTGCCTTCGGCTTGTAAACACCTTTCTTTGGCGCGCCCCCCCCTTACGCTCCGTGTTGGTGTTGTAACCCTTTTGTGTATGTTTTAATCTTGCCAAAGGGAAATTTTTGTCATGGTTCGACGGTATTTGGACGCAAATCGATGGATATACCTTTCCCTTCTTTGCGCTTTCATGTAGCATCAGGAGATTCGGGGAGGAATACGTCTTTGTTCATCTTGAAGATACGAAAGCAAATTTATTTCAGATAGAAATTCTGACACCCACTTAATTTTTTTGATTTGAATCTTTTCATTCGTCTCTACCTCTCAAATGTGGATTTCCAATCAATTGTTTTTCTTTCTTTGCTGAAGAAGAAAGTGCTTCAATGTTTGGTTGATGGATGATGACATGGCAACTCCGTGGTGTTTCGCATAAGCAACTACTTAATTAGTGTGTATACACGGCTCCGCTTTCATGCACCAGCAGCAGCAGCAGCAGCATCAAGAGCTGCGACCCATTTCTCAGACCAGGCTGTGAACTCATCGTCCTGTCCACTCCAACTCGTGCGCACAAGGTTGACTGCTGTCTTGGCCTCGCCACAGCATCGGTCCAGCATCTCTTGCGCCTCATCCGCGTCAAGATCATAAAATGCAGCGGCAATGTCATCAACCGTCTCTGGAATACGTTTAAGCACGCCCATGAGCTCGTTGAGTTTGACACTCGGACTCTGTGTCGCTTCTCCTTCTCCTTGCCCTTCTCCCTTTTCTGTTATTGCCTTGCTCTTTGTCTTGTTCGTCGCAGTCGCATTATTGCTGGGCTCGAGAATCGACGAGGCAGGATATGTTTTTAGCCTCCTCTTGACAAGAGCCTGGTATAATATGCCCATCATCTTTAGCTTCTTGAGACTCTTATCCAACAGAGCCTTGAGCTCTTTGTCATCTTTGCCCAACTTATTTTCCGTTGCGAAAACGTCATCTTGGTCGCTGTTCTCTGCCTTGTCGTCGTCGTCGTCGTCGTCTTCTTCATCGTCTGCAACGTCTTCGCCCCACTCCTTCAACTCCTCGATTGCGTCGAGCAACACAGCCCGCAACTCTTGAGCCTTCTTCACCACGAGCCCCACCACTCCGTCTTTGCATAGTTTCTCTACTCCATCACACGCATCCCACACCATGCCCGTGGCAGAAAGCACTTGTTGTTTCTCAGCTTCCGTCACACTCGCGCCTTGCTTCGTCCCTTGTTTCTGCGCAATACTAAGCACAATGCTCAAAACCTCGTTCCAGCTTGCCAGCAGCCCTTTGACCTGCGCCCGCATCTCCGCACGCATAATTTCGCCCACGTCGCCCCCTTGTCCCACACCAGGCACATAACTCGCCGCGGCCACGACCCCGGTCAGCGGTCCTTCGCTCACATTGCCAATCTTGGTGACGATCGCAGACGCCGTTAGAGGCGGGTTGATGAGCAGCAGCGAGAGCGTCGTCGTGTGCGATTTAAGCAGCGTGCTGCTGCTTCGGAGCAGTTCGAGCGGATTCGCTATTTCTGTCGAAGCATCAGGCACGGACGCGGATGCGATCGCAGTGGTGCTGGTGGCGGCAGTGTTGGTTTTGCTGGGTGCAAGCGACAACTGGTAGTGTGTGAGGAGCGTTTGGGTGTTTTTGGTGACTTCAATGAGTGTAGAGACATCCTTTGCTTTCGACATGATGATGCGGTTTGTTCTGTTCTTGTTTCTTCTCTTCTTTCAAAGTTTTCCAAAAGTTAATGACAGCCACTAATATGCCTCAGAAAAAAAAAACTTCAAAACTTCAACGCGCGGGGCGTTCCTAGAATGAACTTGCTCACTGTGTAGTGACTGCGGAAAAAAAGTTAGTGGGGTTGCGGGATGGAGGGACAAAAATGCTTATCGATAACGCCTCCTTGTACGTAGTAGTACATTCAAACGTACTACGCCGACTCTTGTGCAACAGCGTTGATACTTCGTGTTGTTGATGATAAGTCTTGGTAGATTACATCGAATTTTTTCTTGATTTTTCCGGTTTTAATAGTTCCATACTTCGGGTTCCTATAGTAGAGATGATGTGCCGCATCTTCATTCCATTTTCTCAATCAACCAGACAACAATCATGCCTACTTCTACTAATCGTAACAGACGCTGTAACCGTGATTTGGTTGTCATATCCAATATATGTGTGCCTAATAGGCATATAACTGTTGAGAGGTGTATATATTTGTAGTAGTATTACTAAACAATTTTTTAGGGTTTGAAAGTAGGGTCTTGCTAATACTTGCCTCTACCCTTTCACTTTAACTGTAAAGTCTTTTTTGAATACCTAATTCCGGAATTTTAGTGTATGGCAAGCTATCCTTTTCTAAGATAATTGATCTATCACTCTATATATCAGACAGATACAAAACAGTCAAGTCATAAAGCCGACTCAAAACTTATTTTCTTACTGCAACACTCCCTACGGAAGATCTACCTAGGTATCACGATTTAAATTTGGCGTATTGATTTAATGTATTTCTTATTGAAACGATAGTTTTAGTAGCGCTGCCATTTCGTAGTAAAAGTAGCTAGTTTTACTAGGCTAGCCTACTTAGTCTGGGATTTCCAGTTTCACTGATCGACCGAGGCCGAAATTCATTTGGAAGAGCACGAGTCTTTCAAGAAGTCAGAGTGCAGCAACCCTTGAAAACGCAGAGAAACTCCACTCATAGACAGCAAAGCCACAGAGACCACAAACCGAGTAAGAATTGCTTTCAACATTGTAGTCATGTCTTGATATCTAATCTTCTACCACCCAAGCAACGCGAGTCAACCGCAGTACGCCCGGAATACGCCATCATCCTGATTTACCTTCCTCCTCCTACAACTCGTTGTGTTCTGGTGCAGTCTTCTGAACCTCAACACCACACACCGCTGGCGTGCCCACTTCCATCCTGTACACACATTTCTCCTCCTCAACAATCTTCCAGATCTCGTCTTTTTCCGCGCAAGCCAAGATGACAAGTGTGCTCCTGTTGGGGCCGTTCCAGCAATGCTGGCCATTTTCGTATTTGAGAGCGATGCGCTCGCCACTGCCCAAACCTTTGCCATCTGCAGGTAGCTCCTCATCAACAGTCATCGACTCAATGCGAACAAAGTTGCCCATGCCCGTGTGGCCACCGCCTTTCTTGGGCTTCTGCGTCGTCCTCGAGAGGAAGCAGTGCTCATACGTGTATTCACCAGAGTCGGTGGATATGCAGACGTCTTTCAATGCTCGAAAGATAGCGTCTGGGCCATAGTCCTTGGTAAGATCTTCTTCGTGCCTAGTTAGTTCAGACTTGTCATTTTCGAGCTCCCTCTTTGCTGCTTCAAGCTGCGACTTTGCATCGCTGACTGCCTTGGATTCAGGAGCATCGGCAGATGTGGGGTCGGCAAGGATTCCATTCTCGATGAGTATGATTCGCAGGTCGCGGAGCTTGCTGTCGACCCAGCTACGGATAGATTCGGGTAGGTATTCTTCGAATTGATAAACTGGATAATGGTCAGTCGGTGAACTCGAGGGTTGTTGTTTCATCAGTACTTACGGAGCTCATCAGATTCGTCTACTTTTTCAAAGTCGTCCCAATTGATAGCATTCTCAGAGTCTGGCTTGAGAATGTCATCGAGGTCTCGGTCTAGAGCGTCATTGGGTCCTGGGCGATCTTGTGCAGCATAGTTCTCCCACGCCTGGACTGCACGCTTCACACCCTCGTCGTTGAAGTTGGGATTGTACTCCTCCTTGAAGCGGGTCAGCATACCCTCAAGATCGGCAACCCTTGCTCGCGCAGAATCTCTCTCATTGCGCAGGCGATTGATGTTATCAGTAAGCTCCTGGATGCGCTGTTTTGCCAGACCCGCCAATACAGTGACCTTGCCGCCCTTGCCAGCGTCCTTGGCCACCTTGCCACGCTCCGCTCTCTCAATCTCAGCCAGACTCTTTGTCAGCCCGTCAACCTTTAGTGTCGCTCCTTCAATTTGAGCCTTGAGTGTCTGTATGCGGTCCTCGACCTCCTTGCGCAGGCGTCCCGCCTCGGCCACCAGCTCCTTCCGCCGCTGTTTGGCAGCAGCGAGACTCATTTGTCTCGCCTCATCCGCCTTCCTCCACTCCTTGCCAATGGCCGCACAGCGGTCTTCGCACTTGATACCGCCGACGTGTTCGTACTCATCGCTCCCATCGCAGCAAAACTCATAATCGCAGGCACCGTCGTTGACGCTCGTAAAGGGAATGTAGCTGGGCTGGTGACCCTTGTTCTTGCAATAAAAGCCTGGAAGGGCGGGCGTCGTGTTGACATCTTTGCCCTCGACGCTCAGCGGCTGGGGTGGTGAGAGGGGTGAGAGGTAGGAGCAGGCCGCGGTGCCAGGCTCATCAGAGCCATCGGGGCAGTCGCAGTAGTCGTCGTTCAGCCGGGCAATGGGGAGCTTGATAGCAGGATTCGAGATACAAGTAAATGTCTCGGGGTCCTTGTAGTACTTTGCAACTAGACATTGGCCGTCAGCATGCAGAGCTCCGTCCATTGCAGCTGTCTATGAGCTTCCTTGGGTGCAACATACACTCCGGAGCCACACCCCGCGGCCGGGCGGGGTCTGATGCCGCATCTACAGTGCTGGCGAGGAGGGGAAGTATCAGGGCAAGGGACGACACGTGCTTTCTCCCCATGTTTTCAACTTGTTGGGAGGAATTGGAGTTTGAAACTCCAACTTGGTTGAGATGCCACATCAACATAAGGTCCAGGGTCCAGCTTCAGGGCCAATCACATGCCGTCTGTGCGCTGGCCTTCCGCTAGCCTTCTATGTGTATAGTCCATATATACTGTACATTTCTCTTTTACTACATACTCCTTACCTCTTCCTCTCAAGTTCTGTTTCTAACCTCATCACAAGTCTATAGTGGATTCGCCCCCTTGGGCAGCTTGACCTTGAAAACAAGAACCTGAGTGTCAATGCTATTCCCACTCGCGTCTGCGTATTGATTCCGCCCGAAATTGATATAACCTGTAGAGCATTACTTGAATGTCACCAAAATATCAACAGCCCAGCTTACCGTTCTGCGTGATGAAGTCATTATCTGCGAAAGACACGAGGTAGTACTGCTTTCCTTCATCCTCGTTTGTCCTATCACTCCTACCAATCTCGTCTTTCTTGTCGACTGGTAACAAGGCGAAGCTCTCCCACTTTTCGTTGAGCAGTTTTGAATCTTGCTCACCGCCATTGTGTAGGCCAAACTTTTCTAGCTCGTCATTGTTGTTGTAGGAAAGCCATGGACAGTAAGTAACAGGTACAATATTGCTCTTCAGCTCACCATCCTTGCTAGCAACTTGTCCACCTAATGCATCGGCAGCTGTTCCCAAAACATTGGTAGCATTTGAGATATCAATCACATCGGCATTGCGATAGAGAGACTCTGTACTCTCAGCACCTTGGCCAGCATTCGAGTCGCGTGCGAGAACAAGGAATTGTGTTTCCGAAATGTAGTGTATCTCTGACTGACTAGCAACACGTCCTGTAGAGACGAGTGGTAGCTGAACTACATATTCAGCCTCCAATTTTGTCTTTTTGTCCTTGATGCTGTACTTGAGAAGACGTGTGTTGCGACGCTTCTTCGCAGAGCTGCCACCATCTTGGATGGTGGCGCTTTGAAGCATCGTGTACAAGTACTTGCCGTCCGGGCTGGCCGTGAGTGCCTCCAAACCTTGATTATTGCCTCGACCGCTTGTAGGGTCTCCAGGTACAATCTTAAATTCAGGGTCGTAGATAGGTGGGGAATCAGCGCTGAAGCTGTCGGTGTCGTTGCGCTGGGGAACAAAAGCAGCTGGGGGACGAACTGCCTTGATCATTTTGCCTTGACGGTCGAACTGGTACAGATAGGCAGCATACTCATCACTGATCCAGAATGTTCCGTTATCCCCAAGCACTAAACCTTCGGTATCGAGAGAGATGCGAGCACCGCCAGGACCGGCTTGACCAAAGCCGTTACCGGCATCTGTATTTTTCAGTAAACACTCCCAAGGACTAGTGTCCACTACTCACATTTTGCCAAGGGAAGAGTAGGGAATCCTGGATATGTAATGGTATCAGTAGGGTCGAGGCCAGTCAGTGGTGTACCATCAGGACCAGCAAGAAGCAGAGTGTCCGAATAGGAGATCTGGAGGTTTGGGCTTGCTGGCTTTGCTACAGTAGCTTCGACTGGCGTAAACTTGACGCTGAATTTGTGGAGTCTAGTCTGAGTATTCTGTGTTCCTTGGGTATTCCATCCACGATCAGGCAAGCTCCAGACCACGCCCTCATAGGTCCCGTTCTTGTATTTCCATGACTTGTTCTCGAAAGCGATTGCGCTTCCAATACCGCCGACCGTGTCACCGAATTTGTCGCGAGCATCACTCGTTACTGATCCAAAGCCTGCGAGCTTTTCATATGTGTACAATTTGCCATTGCACGTAGTGACATTGGGAGCAGTTTGGGTTGTGGAACCTTGGTGGCGGGGAATGACTGAGCTGGCGATAACTCGGCCTGCTGGGAAAGCTAGAAGACTGAGGGAAGTGGTGAAAAGCATTTCGATGGCTGGCCTACTACTGTCGTGTGCCTGAACAGGGGAGCTCGGGGGGCTATCATATGGCTATATTAATAGCTGCAAGATGAGATAGAGCACGGGATGGACATGGACGGCCAGTCGGGTAAAGGATTACATCCTAGCTACATTTTCCTCATCCGCACCACACGTGTGCTGTTTGTTTGGCTGTGAATTGCGAGGCAATAGTTCTCCTGCCGGAATGGCTACATAGCGGCTCAGTTTAGCTATGGGAGTGGGTGCCCAGCGTTTAAGATTGCGGGATGCGGAGACGAATGCTTTTGCTGGAATGCCATTGAGTAACATTCAGAAATGCACCCTAGCAAGGGAAGCCCCTTGTGGCTGCGTTGAAAGTGACGTGCAGACGTGGGGGATTGAAGGACACGTTGTCCGTAGAGGGGCTGTGAATGGCAGACGGAGAGTTTGCCGAGGAACACAACCTCACCCATTGGGTGGTGGCGCACGCGGATAGATCTGTGTACACACACGTACGGTACTTACAGCTGCCTTCACCTACCACAATGTCGGCCAGCTTCAAGTAGAGTCGTTAACTCACTGCACATAGCATTTCTACATTGCTCCAGGCGCGGCTTCTGTAAACCAGAGAATTGAACCCTGAAGGAAATAGACATGATGCGACCACGGCGCACTCTTTCCGTTTCTCAGCATAGTACACTTTCCCTTGTCATGGCCGTCTTTTATTGTGCAGTAAAACGGATAAACATGCACGTCACTTCGACTCCACCCTCGCCCTCAACCCTCATCGACATCACGGAAATTCTTTAGTCCTATTTGAACAGTTATTTCTAACAGTGGACAAGCGACTCTCTACTCTTGGGTACAGGGGCTTGACTTCGTAGCTGTTCCAGCGCTCATGGAAGCCATGCTTCGAACTTCTAGCGATAACCTAATCACCACACTTATCTCATATCTTGTACCTGATCAGCAAACTCCTTCGGAAACACCATCGACAAACTCAAGTGGATATGGAGAATCTTCTTCAGGATTCTCTCGTCCTCTCACCGGCAACATCGAGAAAGGCAAAGGCTATACAAAGGAAGGTGCCCCCAATTCAAGCCTAGAAGCCATACCCAGGGGTTCACTGAAGAGATCTGCCAGCGACCTGACTGCCTTGAACGGTATAAGTAGAGATCAAAAGACGGCAGTCACAGCGCTGAATGCATTCCGATCGAAAGATGGCATGTACCACCCAGAGCATGCAACTGCATCTCTATCGCCTACTTCACTACAACCATCTCCCATTGCCATACAGTGGCCTCTTAGCAGCTCACGTAACGGACTTATGACGGTTGCAGAAGAGGCCACAAAATCATCTGCGAGCTCTCAAAGTCCTCTCTTTGAGCGGGCAGAACCTGTCTCCAAACATTCGGGACGTAGCCAGCCTTACCCTAGACCGGCGACAGATGGAATGTTGACTAGAATAAGACCGCTCCTAACTAGATCTACTGCGGTGCGCTCCAACTCGGACCCAGATCTAGCCAAGACATACTTGAATCCAAGGTCACGCGATCGGCACTTACCATTAAAGTCTTGTATGAAGAAGAGAGCGAAGAGCGACACTATCACGTCCCTCGGTGGAATACAACGGAAAACAGAAGATCATGACTCCAAGGATCTTTGCCGCATCAAGACTGTCGATTTTGAAGGGAGTGGCTCCAAACCTTCTTCCCACGTCTCGAGCACAGTTGTCATACCCAAGAGCCTACACCAGACTTCAAATCACGACGCCAAAACGCTCTCCAGACCGACCAATACGCGAAGAAGATCCATCAGTAATTCTCCATCGTGCCCGAAAATAATTGGCACAACGAAGAGCAGTGCGGCAGACCCGGCGATCACACGAACCGATGTACACGTTGTCGCCATCACGCCCTCATGGGACACACCCGACATTGTCAATGAGGAAGGATCTGATCCGGCCACACCGACGATGCAAGTCATTGAAACAAAGACCAGTAGCTATGAAGTGATATGGGATGATGTGCCGCTGGAGCAGAGAGTAAGAGGGAGAGGGCGGCGAAGTTCTTCTGCAAGCCACTCTTTGGAGATGGCTAGTCCATCTGCCAGGCGGGGTCTTGAGCGGGTCAATTCCAAGCTCGTACGCTGGTTTGGCAGCTGGAATAGCGCATCAGACTGCTTTAAGCCCACAATTGTAGTCTTTCCAGACGACGATGGCCGAACCACGGGTTTCGACTGTGCTGCAGATGACAAAGAAGATGAGCCGCTATTAGCGCCTCCGAACAGCCAGGTTACCAGTACCGCTTCTTCTTGCCATCCGTCTCGTCCTGCAAGTGTGCCCCTGAATGGGATTGTTTCCACCGGCGATGTTTTAAGAGGAGATGACATGGACGAAACATTCCCGGATGTTGGTCAGAATTTGTTACAACCTCCAGAGCAATCATTACCCGTACGGAACCCTGAAATTCAGCACAAGGGAAGATGGAACAAGCACCCCGTGAAGACTCGCCATCTCTCAAGCCTCGAAGAAACAGACACGCGCTTCCATGGTCATCGCGACTCTGTTACTATAGCCCATGCCCGCCTTATCCGTTCAGGACATGTCTCGCCCAAGCCGCTTAAGGGACAAGATTCTTATGAAATAGCTAAGAAGCGGAAGCACATGCGCAATCAGGCTGCATCGATAGAAAGCGCGTATTCTCCGCCCAAGGCGTCGTCAATAGAGGCTTTGGATCTCGTCACGAACCATGATACCGCCAAAGAGTCAAAGAGCACGCTGCACAGGCACTGAAGAACGGCAAACCGGCGTCCATTCTCCGCTCACCAAACCATGGTACCGATCAGCGACACTTGCGAATTGTTGAGTAAGTGGAATCGATATGCTGATGCTGCGCGCGTGATAGATCCGGCCTTGTCATTTGGTATCAGCCGGGTTTGAGGTCGTGCAACTAGGGACGTATGGGCGCGTCAGCATCCGCCAAGGCCGATGACGATATGATCGCCTCTCGTGCTGTACCTACTTCCTACTTTGGACAATGCCTTCGTCTGCCCACGGTTAGTCAGGCTACCATGGCAAATCTATTACCTCTATCTATTTCCTTTCCATGCTAAGCGACGTGCTGAGATTGTGAAAATTTGTGGTCTGTCCAACCAGGAACACGATACTTGCAGTGCGTTGTGTTGAGCTACTTATCCCTGCCCGTGACCACTACTTGCCACCCTCGCGCTATTTCACGATCTGATGCTGCAAGCACTGGAGCGCTCTTGCATGCACGCCACACATACTATGCCTCTGCTAAGATGCCTGATTTCTGCTAATGATAGTACCAAGAAAAGTATCACCGGACACCGAGACGCCCGAGGCTCAATGTGTAGCATCGAACGATTGGTGTCGCAAATCGCGTTTGATCATTTGCAGCGATGAAGATGATGCCGCACAAGCGCCGCTTTGCGTTTATATACGACCATGGTGCATATCCACAAAAAACTAGCTATCCACAATGTCAGCAATTGCACCTTACAAACCAAGCCACGGCACGTCCACCATGGAGTTTGCCACCAATGAGACTTCGAAGCGTCATCAGCCATATGAAGCGCTGCAGAATGTCGTTGATGGCTCCGATTCGAGCACAGAGGTCGGTGACGAATGGGACACAGAAAATGCTGCTCAGCCTCGGCGGAGAAGGAAAACGGTGTGGAGGTGGGTGAGAAGGTACCGGTGGATGGTCGACACTACACTCTTGTTGGTGATTGTAGGACTCTTGGCCGAGAAGAGATGGCAAAGATACGAGAAGGGCCATCTCTACGAACTTGCCGGTGACATTACTGGGTTTGCGCCAACCTTTGGCCAGCAGATTGTTAGTTTCAAGCCCAATACCGTGTTTGCTCCTGAGGAGCCGACGGATTTTTGGAGCAAGGAGACGCAGCATGCCTGGCTGAGCATCGTTCCAGGTACGGAGTGGAGCTACTTGTTTTCGGATACGAACATTGCTGACCGAGTCAAAGAGGGCCTTGGCTATGTCGAAGTAAAGAATGCGTCGGAATACTCCAACCTACCGCATCCAATCCATGATTACCCCACTCAGACGGTATTCACTACGTCAGTTACGCATCAGTTACACTGCTTGTACACGATACTTGAAGCGTATAACACCATGAAGCTGACGGTTGCCTCACCGGGATCGGCAGATCCTATCAAAAAGCCATGGCACATTAACCACTGTTTTGAGTACATTAGACAGGCGATCATGTGTGCGGGAGATGTAGCGCTCGAGGGAGCGGCAACGAGCTTTCCAGGCGACGAGCATGGGCAGGACCTAGGAGGGAGTGACGGATGGGACGCCAAACACGTGTGCAAAGACTATGGGCAGGTATACGAGTACCTGGAGAGGGAGACGATCAATCACATGAAATGGATCTCGTCGGGTTAGGCGAGGCACGGGATCCTTCGGTATGGAAGGATTTGTTCAAAGTGCGGGGAGCATGTGAAGAAGACGTAGGGTGTCCGAGTGTGTAGTATTACAGGAGGATTTACACACAGGGCCCGCACAGGCTGACGACGTGGATGGGTCCCCTGTCGAAGTGATTTGTTTTACGGAGGTCCAAGACATCAACCAACATTAGGAAATGCATGACGGCAGCGGGTGCAAATTCTTTGGATGGTGACTTTGTTGAGCTTGGAGATGGTTTGTGTTTTATGGCGTTGTGCTTGGTGTCAAGTCGACGTACATCTGTATCCATAAGAACGCACACATACACTACATAGTAGACAAATACACAAGCATGTTTACACACATCCTACACGGAGGCTCCACAAAACAAGAATTTCGGAGCGGATGCTTAAGAAGGGCCGTATTTTCCGAAGGTGGGTGGATACCAGCGGCGGTACGGTGGTTGCCCCAAATGCGACGCTCCCACTATGTCGGGTGGTGAAGTGGCCAATCAGATGCCGGCTTTGCCCCTAGCGCTCGTCGAAGCATTGCAGCCACATCGGCATCACCGAACCGTCACCGCGTACACCTACGTAGTCCGCTTATGCCGATGTTTCCTGTCTCGGAGCTCACTGCTAGAATGGCTAACGGTCCCGTTGCCGTCGCCGGACTTGTCCAAAATGTAACGCTGACTGACCGCTTCCGAGTCTATAAGAAGCACATCTGCCCCCCCTTGGCACACACTCTCCCTGCTGCACGTCCATCCATGCTCCAAAAAGAGTGAGCCTTGCGAGACTTGCTGGCTGGGGAAGAAGCTTGGTATTCCACAACGATAAACGATTCGACTACGCCTCGGCCGAGAAACTCGCACGACCGCACCTTCGTTACCACGGGGGAAACGCATCTTGCCCATTCCTCTAGACATCTGGAAAAAAGACCTTGATCGGAGAAGCCGACGGTGAAGTGAACCTCTGCTACCCCACCATCGAGTTGTATCTCTGTGCCATTGATTAAAAGGCCAGCCAATCTCCACGACCCATTAATCTCCCCTCTACACACCCATCCGCTCGCTCGACAAAGTTCCCATCCTTCAGACACAATGGCGCAATCTCCCCTCATCGTCATTCTTGCGGGTGCTGCCGTTTCCTACTTTCTGTATACCCGCATCGCACTCTACCTTGCACGCCGCCGCTTCAAGAAGGACCACGGCTGCCAGCCATGCAAGGCCCAATTTCACAAGGACCCCATTCTGGGGCTCGATGTCATGAAGGCCATGGCCAAATATAGCAAAAACTACATCACCTTGCAAGAAACCAAGAAGCGTTACGAGAGACTCGGCAACACCTACCACAGCCGAATCGTCAACCAGCCTTACATCATGACCTGCGAGCCCGAAAACATCAAGACCGTCTTGAGTTTGAGATTCAAGGACTACAGCTTTGCCCACCGACAGCCTGCTTTTGGCCCTCTTTTGGGCCATGGTATTTTCAACGCAGATGGTGACCGCTGGGCCAACAGCCGTCATCTCCTACGCCCCAACTTTGCACGCGACCAGGTTGCTGACATTGATGCTTTCGAACGCCACTTCAACCTCATGCTCAAGCATATTCCCAAGGATGGCTCGACGGTCGACTTGCAAGATCTCTTCTTCCACCTGACGCTTGACACCGCAACAGAATTCTTGTTCAACCACTCGACCGACTCACTTCGCATGCTTGGTCAGGAAGACGTCGACAATGAAGACGCCATCTTTGGCAAGGCATTCAACTTTGCACAAGAAGATGTTACCGTCCGCGCTCGCTACGGCCCTCTTGATCGCTTCAGGAGAAATGCCGAAGGCAAGAGGGCCATTGAAATCTGCCACACATATATTGAGAAATTTGTCGACGATGCTCTGCAGTTCCGACAGAACTTGGATGCTGAAAAGGCTGCTGGCACCAACAAGTATTACTTCATCCAGGAGGTGGCAAAACAGACGACGGACAAGAAGAGGATACGCGAAGAGCTCATCAACATCCTGCTTGCTGGCCGCGACACGACTGCGAGTTTGCTGAGCAATATGTTCTTCGCTATTTCCAAGAACCCGGAAATCTTCGCAAAGCTTAGGGAGGAGATTGCAACACTTGAAGGGCGCACACCGACATACGCAGAACTGAAGAACCTGAAATACGTCAAGTGGTGTCTGAATGAATGTAAGTTTTGGTTGCTCAAGTAGTAGCGTGCTCATACTAAGCGCATCGTATAGCACTTCGCGTTCACCCCGTTGTACCTGGAAACTCACGCTACGCCACCCGCGACACTGTGCTACCCCTTGGTGGTGGCCCTGACGGCCGGTCACCGCTCTTCGTTCCCAAGGGCACAACAGTCGGATACTCCCCATACACAATGCACCGCCGTCAGGATATCTATGGACCAGATGCGGACGAGTTCAAGCCGGAACGCTGGGAGACACTGCGTCCTGGATGGGAGTACCTCCCGTTCAATGGTGGCCCACGTATCTGTATCGGCCAGCAGTATGCGCTTATTGAAGCAAGCTACGTCACCGTCCGCCTTGTACAAGAATTCAAGGCTATTGAGAGCAGAGACCCTGGGCCATGGCAAGAAGGTCTAACACTGACCCTTTGCTCGTTGAATGGCGTCAAGGTCGGCCTCACACCAGCATAGAAGAAGCCCGGGGCTGGCCATGGCTGTTGTGAGACATTAAAAAAACTGTGAGGCATTCTTTTCTTCTTTCTTCTTCCAGAACTCGTTTTCGACTGAAAATAGTTTGTATCAATATTCTCTAGGACGGAATGTGTCCAGGTTGTTTGTGAGATGTGTAGATAATCATATTTCCTATTCGAGGTTTGGAATAGACCATACCTGATACTCCTCCAGAGAGAGATGTGGAGCGGGGCACAGGTATGATTGGGAAGCAATGGCCACTGTAGATTTTAAATGAAATGGACACATGACTTGTACATTGGCAGAGCGAGGTACCTAGTCACATGATTTCAGTGTAGACATGGCCAAGATCAGCTTGTGGTGCCAACGTAGAGTGCTCGTGGCATATTCCCCATATTGCACCAGCGCAACCGCCATTGTCCTAATAGGGATTAGTGCCGGAAGTCCGCAGAGGGCCACCCAGGAACCCAGGTGTTGATCAACAACAGCCAAACGCCCGCTGCTCTGACACAACCCACCCCCGAACCTTTTCTTGCCTGGCCTTTGCTACGGCCCAGTTGCTGGCAGACACCATGTCGCGAAGTCATCGTCCTTCGACTACGCCCATGGACTTTGAGTGGACAAATCAGACAGGACCCATTGACGCACAATCGCCCTTCCTCGCCGCCAGCCAGCAAAAGAAGCGTAAGCACTCCCCGACCGGTTGGCTTGATTTCCGCACATGGCATGCGAGATGGAACACGACGGCTAACCCCAAGGCCCTGGTTGGGCCACGCAGGCCCCCACTCCGTCGTCGACTCCCCCTCCAAAGGCGGCTTTGCGACGCCAACTCGTTTACGCGACCCCGACAACCGCATGACATACTTCAGCCGCGATCCGAGCAAGCCCTTGCCCTCCACACCAGCCTCTTCGCTGCCCGCACACATCCAGCCCAGCCCTTGGTCGATGCGCACCCCGTCACACGACATTGACTTTAGTTCAGGCGGCGAGACCCCCGGCACCCCGATGATAGACAGCGACATCGGCACACCAGACACACAATTGGCCACCAAGATGGGACGACTGGCCAACGGCGATGCCGACAGGAAGGGTGGCCGCCGCGACAGCTGGTTCAAGCGGACCTTCATGTCAACCCCCAGCCCGACTAAGGATCGCGACAAGGAGCGAGAACGAGACAAGGACCAGCTCCAGCCCCAGAAGCCCTACTCCAAAAAGGCAGAGAGTCGCATCGTCAAGCGCCGCTCCGAGCGATCGCGGTCTAAGAAGCGAGTCGCTCTTCGTGATGACGATGCTGACGACTCAGACAACGATCAAGCCCGCCCGCTCATGGCCCCAAAAGAAGCGGGGCCTGTCCAACAAACCTTTGCTATGAGTCTCGGTGGATTCTTGTCATGGGTCGAAGCCCATCCGAACCTTCCTTCTGTGCTCTCCTACTACCTTCAACTCACTGTCAACATGTTTCTTGGCAGCCTCTTCATATACATTGTCTATTCTGCATGGGCGGGCGTCATGACCGACGTGGATATTGAGTCTTCCAAGCATGCCTCAGAGGTTATGGTGGAGATTGCTGCTTGTGCCACCGAGTACAATCGCAATCGCTGCCGGCCCGAGGAGGTGGTACCAGCCATGGAGAAGGCCTGTGGTGTGTGGGAGACTTGCATGAACCGTGATCCCAAGAAGGTTGCTCGTGCAAGTGTAACAGCAAAGACATTTGCCATGATTTTCAACAGTTTTGTCGAGGAGTTCAGCTACAAATCCATGGTATGCGCTAGTCTTTCTACTTTTTGGTACGGGATGAGACCGACAACCGAGCCTGCATACATCTAGTACACAGAGATTGAGCATGCTTGGTTCTAACCCTTTTACCTCTTGAAGCCCCCCGGAAACAAGATTTTTTTGATTCCCGATTTTTGATTCAGACTGCTAATTCGTACTTCTCACAGATCTTCACAGCCATCATCATCTTTGGTGGCTTCAATCTCTCAAACTGGGCCTTTGGCCTCCTCCGTTCCCAACAACAACAGCAGCAACAGCAGCAGCAACAATCACAACACTCACAAGGCGACTATATGCCGCAAACTCCCCATCGCGTAGCCTCAAACTCGTACATGGACCATCAGCAGCAACAGCAAGGGTACCACAACCCGTATGAGCAAAATTGGCAACAGCAACAGCATTTGCCGCCCTACCAATCACAACACACGCCGTATACCGGTCAAAGGCATATTGAGGCGGCTCCGCCCCTCATTCACGCACATACTATGCCTCAGCTACCTTCTGCTACATCAAACAGTATGACGGATACAGTCTCGTCTGCGCACTTGCTGGAAGGCAGTAGTAGAACTACTCGAAAGAGGAATCTGTTTAGGTAGTCTTTCTATGTTTTTCTGTGTTTCCCTCTTTTTTCTTTTATATCTCTATTCTGGGTTTGGATGCAAAAGTTCTAGGGCATGTAGGACTGACACCTGGTGGTGGGGCATGAATTAAAGGGGCCTTACTGCTCAAAGCATAACAAAACGGCGAAAGTGGTGTTTGGAGAATGGCTTGGTCCTGGTCTTGGTTCTTGTGTCACGCGATTCTTTTTGGTTCCTGAAATGGACGTAAATCGAGTTCTGTATATACCGCGCACATGCAGAAGTTACAGAAAATTTTGTTCTCATAGATGTTAACGAATGCATTACTCAACGTTCGTTGTACAGGTAAATGTTCATACAGCATGAGCCTCTCCAAAGCCTGGATATCAAAACCAAAGTCCACATCATACACATCCATCCACTTGCCCCCCAAAACGCCTTCCTTTTATCCATGTCTACTTGCTCGTCTGACGCCTTGAGACAATACAACATGCAACAACCGTCACCAAACTTAGGCAGCCGCCTCAGTCTTGGCCTCCTCCTTTCCACTCTCCTCATACTTCTCCCAGTTGGCCAGAATGTTGCCAATCTTGGGAGAGTTGGTAAGCTTGTACACATCCTCAAAGTACTCCTTGGTCAACGCAAACGGCTTCGCAGTCACATTGGGGATGTACTTGCCCACTAGCTTGCTCGGGTCAATCGATGTCTTGTGGATCTTCTTGAGCAGGAAGGATCGGAACGGCTTGACACCAGAACGCAAGAAAGTCGAGTGGAAGGGCACATCGATACCCTTGAGTGGAATGGTAGCAAAGCCACGTTGCAGGTCAAGAGGCTTAGGCTTGGCCTCTGTTTGCTCAGCACACCCCTTGATGATCTCGACCAGGTGGTTCTTGACCTCTTCAAGCGAGAGAGTTTGCATGAGTGCCTGAATGTCAATCTTCTGCTGCTTGAGATAGTTTGTTACACCAGTGAGGCAGTCAAGAGCGCGAAGATCACCAGCAGCAACGTACTGCATGTTGGCAATGTTGTAGTTGACAATCTCCAGCAACCATCCTGTTGTTTCAGCGATGTTCTCAACAACGTATTGAAGCGCTTGCTCGTTGAAGGTCTTGGAAATCCTGCTAGGGTTGACGGCGCACATAGAGTAGTTGGAACGGCCAGTCTCGTCACGCTCGACAGCGACCTGCATCGTAAGACCACGGTAGAACACGACCGAAACCAAGCTCTCGATAGGCATGACCTCAGCCATGGCTGCCAGAGCGGAGTATTCACCGAGCGAATGTCCGGCGAACGTGCTTTCGACTTGGATCAAGCCCTTGGCACGCATGTCCTCAAAGGACGCCTTCTCCATGAGGGTCAGAGCCGGCTGTGTGAACTGAGTAGCTGAGAGTAGACCAGCTGGCGAACGGTAAGTGTACGATGTGGTGTTCTCATCAATCTCCTTGAAGATCTTCTCAGACTTGATAGTGCCGTCAGCAGCGACTGTCTCGAATGTCATAGACATGTAGTTCTGGCGGATAGCCTTGCCGACAGGTCCACCAAAGTGGATGGTCAACTCCTTCGGGTTGTTCTTCACGATGTTCGTGATAGCGAAACCTATTGAGAATTAGACAGGACAGAAAGTGTCTTAGCGTATTGGACTTACCATAGTTGTCCATGAAGTGCTTGTCGGCACGGTCCCAAACCTCCTTAGCAACAGGACTGCTGTTGTAGAGCTCCATACCCATGCCTTGTTCCTGGGAACCTTGACCAGTGAAGACGTAGGAAGTTGTGGGTTGCTCAACCTCAGCCTCACCAAGCAGAACCTTGTCTTCAGTTTCCTGGTTGCTGACCTCGATCTTGATGATCTTGCGGCCAGAAACCATACCAACGTGCTGGAGCTTGACGTCTAGCATGTCATCAGGAAGGACCATACCAACGAGGTTGACGTGGTAGCTCCTGACACGGCCAACGTTGTTTTCCGCAGCCCATGTCTCAACCAAACTTCGGACAGCTGCACTGGAGTACATGCCATGAGTGATGGTGCCAGGGAGGTTGGCATAGCTGGCGAAGACACGTGAAACGTGAATGGGGTTGTAATCGCCAGAGACACGAGCATAGTTCTCGTTGGAGGCGGGTGCCTTGAGGCTCAGAGGTGTCTTGCCGTGCAGCGGAATAGCATTTTCAAAGAGCACTGGTTGGTCGACTGCAGCTCCGTTACGCTCCAAGTAGTCCATAACAGGGTTTCCAAACGCGGTACCCGATCGGTAATCGACCGAAGCAATCTGAATAATCTCTTTGGTAGGGAGCTCGAGCAGGACCTCTCCTTGGGTTTCAATGTCTGAGAAGACGGTCTTGTTCTTGTACCTGACAACAGTCTCCAGCTTGAAAAGCAAAGTCTTGTTAAGCAGATCAATCTCGGGCTCTTCAAAATTGAACCACTCCTTTGATCGCAGAATAGCGACATCCTTGCTGGTAGCCAGGTGTAGCTGGATAGGCTTCTCAACCTTTCTTTGGAATGTATTTTCGAAGTCATCATACGCGCCACGGTATAGGAACTGGCTAGTGACCTCCATTACCGGTTTGCCATCGCGAGTGATGGTACCGCATACTTCAACCATTTTACCCGAGTCCTGGTTGATGACAGCGTTGATTTGAGCAGTCGTATCAAGTACATCGCCCTTCTTGAGAGGCTCAGCACCAGCGATCATGCGGAAGCCGTTGGACAGATGCACTAGCTTGAGCAAGTCACCGTCAATTGCGCGGGGGAAGATGGGTTTGGTGATAGCCTTCCAGCCAACGACAATTGCAAAATCCATAGGCGCGAAAACTTCCTTGCCTGGCCTATCAACGAAAGCCTCGCCTGTGTTGCCAACTGCGTGAACAAAATCGTTGATGGCCTCACTTGTCACAGTGGCACGGCCACCATCGAAGCGCGAGGTGACAGAAGCATCAAATGGGCAGGCTTCAT